GATCTGAATCAGGATGGAGACCAATGGAGGCTGGTTGACTCTCCTTACACAGGATCTGGATCAAGATTGAGTCCAATGGATGGTGGTTGACTCTCCTGCAGAGGATCTGGATCAGGATTGTGTTCCAAAGAGGCTTGTTGACTCTCCTACAGAGGATCTGGATCAAGATTGAGTCCCATGGAGACTGGTTGACTCTCCTACAAAAGATCTGGATCAGCAGGGAAACCCATGCAGGCTGGTTGACTCTCCTGCAGAGGATCTGGATCAGGATTGAATCCTGTGGAGGCTGGCGGACTCTCCTGCGTAGGATCTGGATCAGGATTGAGTCCCATGGAGGGTGGTTGACTCTCTTACAGAAGATCTGAATAAGGATGGAGACGCATGGAGGCTGGTTGACTCTCTTACAGAAGATCTGAATCAGAATGGAGACCCATGGAGGCTGGTGGACTCTCCTACACAGGATCTGGATCAGGATTGAGTCCAATGGAGGCTGGTTGACTCTCCTACAGAAGATCGGAATCAGGATGGAGACCCACGCAGGCTGGTTGACGCTCCTGCAGTGGATCTGGATTGAGTGCCATGGAGGCTGGTTGACTCTCCTACAGATGATCTGGATCAGGATGGAGACCAATGGAGGCTGGTTGACTCTCCTTACACAGGATCTGGATCAAGATTGAGTCCAATGGATGGTGGTTGACTCTCCTGCAGAGGATCTGGATCAGGATTGTGTTCCAAAGAGGCTTGTTGACTCTCCTACAGAGGATCTGGATCAAGATTGAGTCCCATGGAGACTGGTTGACTCTCCTACAAAAGATCTGGATCAGCAGGGAAACCCATGCAGGCTGGTTGACTCTCAGGTGAAGGAGCTGGGTACCTATCCTGGTGACAAACTGTTGCTGATCCCCTGGTTCACAGAAGAATGCTAAACCACAAGAGTGTTGGATTTGCCTTAAAGGCCCGTTTTTTCCTGTGCTGTGAAAAGTGACGTGATGAAGTTCTGCTTTCAGTCTGAGCATCTTCAACCCTAACCCTCTCTCCCATTGGTTGTGAGTAATAAAACCCCTTCCTGTTTTACCTAAATGTGACTGGTGTCCATCTGTCTACATGTCCCACTATACCTAACAGGCCTACCCCTGAGGCCAGACATTAGCCCACCCTGTCTCTGGGGGCACCACCATGTCTGGGGGCAGGGGTCTTAGAACTTTGTAAACAAAAGGCCGATTTACTGTCCGTCATACCTTAGAAGGGCCAGACTGTGGCCAGTGGGAGTAGAAAATGCCCCAGTGTCAGTGGAAGGAATGGTGCCCCATCATTGGTGTCAGTGGGAGATTAAGAGTGTCATCACTGGTGTCAGTGGTAGGATGAGTGCCCCATCATTGGTGTCAGTGGGAGGATCAGCACCCCACTGTTGGTGTCAGTGGGAGATTCAGTGGCCTATCATTGATGTCAGTGGGAGGATGAGTGCCTCATTCTTGGTGTCATTCGGAAGATCAGTGCCCCACCATTGGTGTCAGTGAAAGGAAAAATGCCATATCATTGGTGTCAGTGAAAGGAAAGAGCCCCATCATTGGTAGCTGTGGGAGGAATAGTGCCCAATTATTGGTGTCAGTGGAAGCAAAAATTCCCCATCATTGGTGTCAGTGAAAGGAATGAGCCCCATCATTGGTGGCTGTGCGAGGAAAAGTGCCCAGTCATTGGTGTTAGTGGAAGCAAAGATGCCCCATCATTGGTGTCACTGAAATAAATGAGCCTCATCATTGGTGTCAGTGGAATCAGCAATACCCCATCATTGGTGTCAGAGAAAGAAATGAGCCTCATCATTGGCAGCTGTGGGAGGAATAGTGCCCAATCATTGGTGTCAGTGGGAGGAATAGTGCCCCATCATTGGTGTCAGTGGGAGGAATAGTGCCCCATCATTGGTGTCAGTGGGAGGAATAGTGTCCTCATCATTGGTGTCAGTGAAAGGAATAGGGTTACATCATTAGTGTCAGCGAAAAGAATGAGCCCCATCATTGGTAGCTGTGGGAGGAATAGTGCCTCATCATTGGTGTCAGTGAAAGGAATGAGCCCCATTATTGATGGCTGTGGGAGGAATAGTGCCCCATCATTGGTATTAATGGGAGGAATAGTATCCCATCATTGGTGTCAGTAAAAGGAATGAGCCCCATCATTGGTGGCTGTGGAAAGAATAGTGCCCAGTCATTGGTGTCAGTGAAAGCAAAGATGCCCTATCATTGGTGTCATTGAAATGAATGAGCCTCATCATTGGTGTCAGTGGAAGCGACAATGCCCCATCATTGGTGTCAGAGAAAGGAATGAGCCCCATTATTGGTGGTTGTGGGAAGACTACTGCCTTTTATCGGTGTGAGGAACAATCCCCCAAGGGCCCCATACAGACAAGCAAAGGGCTGCATTTGGCCCACAGGCTACAGTTTGGAGGAGAGTGCCCCCAGGGGTCGGGGGGGGGGGGGGGCTACACAACTGTAGATGAAACTTGGCAGAATTTGATTATAAATTGAGGGATTTTTTGGGTGAATTTATGACCCTGAAGACTCTACAATTCAGCATTTTCTCCAATCCTCCCTGTTCCTTAGATGCCTCCATGTCCAACCCTACAGAAGAAACGCAGCAATGTTCTCCTCATCTCAGAAATATCAGGACGGGCGCAGCCAGGTTACCCGTGTCACCTCACCCCCGGGCTCTGCTAATGAAGAAATCTTTCCTTGCATCTCTGCCCTTCACCCACAGCCGCCTTCCTCCGGTCTGAACGGCGGGACGCCATTCCATGTAACAGGCACTAAAAATATTTAGACAGCAGCATTTGGTGCCCAGCAGGAACTCCACCGACAGATAAACAGATAAAATATTCTGAAATCTCAGCATGAAAGAGCCCGGCGTCGCTTAAATGAAAAAAAAAGACATATTTCCGTATGCAAAAACAAGAAAATGTCACTAAATTCTGTCTAAATGAGAAAACAGGAGATTGTGATATTCCCGCAGGATCACCTTCTAGCAGAACTATGGGAGGAGATGTCACTTTATCTCTTTTGAAGTCACAAGTCAGGCGGTATAAAGCCAGCAAAAAAAGAGAGGAGGTGGATTAGTCTGCTGGGGGGGGGGGGGGGGGGGGGGGGGGGTATATGGGGGGGACTCAGGTTTATGGGGGATCACTGACACCCCCAACATTCTCTACTAACATCTAATGTAGACACACCTAACTGTTATTAATCAATCCCTTAAAGCGGCATTAAACGCATAAGCAAGCATTTAATACACCATATTGCCCCAAGTATTGTCCCCCCGCCCCCGTATATACACTATATTGCCCCAAGTATTGGGCCGCCGGCCTTCCCACGCACATGACCTTTAATGGCCCCCCAGTCTTAGTCCGTAGGGTTCAATATTGAGTTAGCCCCGCCCTTTCCACACACATCCTTTAATGGCCTCCCCCAGTCTTCATATATTGAGTTGGCCCCGCCCTTCCACACACATGACCTTTAATGGCCCCCCAGTCTTAGTCCGTAGGGTTCAATATTGAGTTGGCCCGCCCTTTCCACACACATGACCTTTAATGGCCCCCCAGTCTTAGTCCGTAGGGTTCAATATTGAGTTGGCCCCGCCCTTTCCACACACATGACCTTTAATGGCCCCCCAGTCTTAGTCCGTAGGGTTCAATATTCAGTTGGCCCGCCCTTTGCAGCTATGACAGCTTCAACTCTTCTGGGAAGGCCGTCCACAAGGTTTAGGAGGGTGTCTATGGGAAGGTTGGACCATTCTTCCAGAAGCACATTTGTCAGGTCAGGCACTGATGTCGGGGGAGGAGGCCTGGCTCGCAGTCTCCGCTCTAATTCATCCCAAAGGTGTTCTATGGGGTTGAGGTCAGGACTCTGTGCAGGACAGTCAAGTTCCTCCACCCCAAACTGGCTCCTCCATGTCTTTATGGACCTTGCTTTGTGCACTGGTGGGCAGTCATGTTGGAACAGGAAGGGGGCATCCCCAAACTCTCCCACAAAGTTGGGAGCATGAAATTGTCCTAAATGTCTTGGTATGCTGACACCTTAGGAGTTCCCTTCACTGGAACTAGGGGGCCAAGCCCAACCCCTGAAAAACAACCCCACACCATAATCCCCGCTCCACCAAACGTTACACTTGGCACAATGCAGTCAGGCAAGTACCGTTCTCCTGGCCACTGCCAAACCCAGACACGCCCATCAGATTACCAGACAGAGAAGCGTGATTGGTCACTCCAGAGAACACGCCTCTATTGCTCTAAAGTCCAGTGGCGGCGTGCTTTACACCACGGCATCCGACACTTTGCATTGCACTTGGTGATGGAAGGCTTGGATGCAGCTGCTCGGCCATGGAAACCCATTCCATGAAGCTCTCTACGCACTGTTGTTGGGCTCATCTGAAGGCCACACCAAGTTTGGAGGTCTTTAGCTATTGACTCTGCAGACAGTTGGCGACTTCTGCGCACTGTGCACTTCAGCATGCGCTGACCCCGCCCTGTCATGTGACGTGGCCTACACTTGGAGGCTGAGTGGCTGTTGTTCCCAGTGGCTTCCACTTTGTTATAATCCCACTAACAGTTGAGCGTGGAATATTTAGTAGCCAGGAAATGTCACGGATGGACTTATTGCCCAGGTGGCCACCTATCACGGGACCACGCTTGGAGTCACTGAGCTCCTGAGAGCGACCCATTCTTTCACCAATGTTTGTTGTTTGTAGAAGCAGTCTGCATGCCTAGGGGCTTGATTGTATACACCTGTGTCCATGGAGGGGATTGGAACACCTGAATCACATGATCTGGGGGGGGATTGGAACACCTGAATCACATGATATGGAGGGGATTGGAACAAATGAATCACATGATTGGGAGGGGATTGGAACAAATGAATCAGATGATTGGGAGGGGATCGGAACACCCGAATCACATGATTTGGAGGGGATCGGAACACCCGAATCACATGATTGGGAGGGGATTGGAACACCCGAATCACATGATTGGGAGGGGATTGGAACACCCGAATCACATGATTGAGAGGGGATTGGAACACCCGAATCACATGATTTGGAGGGGATTGGAACACCCGAATCACATGATTTGGAGGGGATTGGAACACCCGAATCACATGATTTGGAGGGGATTGGAACACCCGAATCACATGATTTGGAGGGGATTGGTACACCTGAATCACATGATTGGAGGGGTTTGGAACACCTGAATCACATGATATGGAGGGGATTGGAACACCTGAATCACATGATTTGGAGGGGATTGGAACACCTGAATTACATGATTTGGAGGGGATTGGAAACCCCAAATCACATGATTGGGAGGGGATTGGAACACCTGAATCACATGATATGGAGGGGATTGGAACACCTGAATCACATGATCGGGAGGGTATTGGAACACCTGAATCATATGATTGGGAGGGGATTGGAACACCCGAGTCACATGATTGGGAGGGGATTGGAACACCCGAATCACATGATTTGGAGGGGATTGGAACACCCGAATCACATGATTTGGAGGGGATTGGAACACCTGAATCACATGATTTGGAGGGGATTGGAACATCTGAATCACATGATTGGGAGGGGATTGGAACACCTGAATCACATGATTTGGTGCCCAATGCTTTTGGCAATATATAGTATATTTAAAAAAAAAACATGATTTGGAGCTGGCAGCCAAAAAAAAAGAAAAGGAGACCCATCAACGGTCATTTTCAGATGCAGCTTGATCCCTCAAGGTTACGAGGATGACACGAGCCATTTGTAATTTTTATGTTACTAAATAAACCATTTTCATTTTAGTGCTACAGTTAGCATTTCCTGAAATTTACCCCACAAAAAAATCAGACGCGGCTTTATTTGCAAAAAGCATCAACATTGTTTGTTCCACCTGCTGTCCCTGCGGAAGAGCAAATCAAATTTCTATTTTGAAGGAGAATGAATGAAGCTCGTGGACTGACCCAAACGTAAATTGAGTAAATGCTGAGGAGATGTTTATTATACCAGACAGCTCACAAATTATAGCCAAACCAGCAAGCTGCAGCTATCTAATTAAATCTGACTTGAGCCATGTCCAAAGTCCTATCCCCAGAACTGGATAATACCGGGTGAGTCTTTTACTATAGCAACGTGATTTCAGGCTATACAATTTGTCTGGGCGTAATCAGCTCCCTATTATGACACATCGTTGTATTGCTTTTCAGCATGCTTCATATTTAATGCGGCCATGCTAAAAAAAAAAAAAAAAAGTCCACGTCTTGCCTGCACAAACGCATTTCAGATTCTACATTTTGTGCGCCTTCAATGGTTGTCAAAGCCCCCTTTTTATTTTCTGTACTTGTACCCCCCCCCCCCCAGTATAGGGTGCTAGGAAAATGTTTTGGCTTTCCTTGTAATAAGAGGAGCAGTGATCATTTGCCTTGGTCTGCTCATGGGACAATAAAGATAGTATGGGGTCCAGGGGCGGACTGACAACTTATTGGGCCCCGGGGCAATAGGGGATCATGGGGCCCCTGTGTCCTTGCCCAAACTCAAAAAAGCCTATGAAAAAGGTACCAGGGGCAGCTCATGGGGCCCCCTACTGACCCCAGGCCCTGGGGCAGTGTCTGAGTTTCCAAATGGTCAGTCCGCCCCTGATGGGGTGGAATGTTCAAAAGACTGCAAGAGGCGTGGTCTACCGGGATATCAAAGTTTGAACAGGAAGGATATATAAATCAGTTTGACATGAAATATACCACACAGGTAACCACAATACATAATAACCATCAAATATACCAAAAACCTCAATTTTATTCAAATATATCCTTTAAATCTAGACATGATGTCAAACTATACATAAGAAAAACCCGCCAAAATCACAGATCTTCCAATGCATTACTGTATGCATAGGTCTACGCGTTTCATGGATGTCCATTTCCTGGTTCCTGTCTGGTGATCTACGGTCATCTGCTTCCTGCAAACCCTAGTTGGTGCCACCTGCTACACCGGCCCTCGTGCCACTCTGTGTCCTTACACTACCAGGGGTGTTGGACGAAAGGTGCAACAGAAGCCCCCTCTCCAGCTCGATCTCCACCAGTTACGTGACACTGGGCAGCTAAGTAAAGCTGCAAGTCATAAACCCCCACTAGCCGGGTCTGCAAAAGAATTCCTATTAGGCCCTGTAGTAAATGGCCTGACATAAGTAGGAGAAATACACAGCAGGTTGAATGAAAAAAAAAAAAACGACCCAATTCCCCCATCTACGCAATCGAGGTGGATGGGGGAATCCTTCCACTGTGCTATTGTATTCTGACGGTGGGAAAATGTCAGAATACACTGATTAGCAGTGCAGTCTATAGCCTGCTTGGGTTCCATAGCTCATATCATTGGTGTCCATTGTGTTTCTATGTCTATAGCATTCAGCATTGATTGGGCGGGGAAAATCCAACAGGGTGGTTGGATAGGTGGACTTCTGTACAACCACAGTGCCCATACATGGGTCAATACTCAGCTGGTCCCTGCTGAACTGGTCCATGTATGACCAGTTAAAGTTGGTGTAGTCCCCTCCAAGTGTAGGATGCTAGGCAAATCTAGTATTTGGTTCCTTCTGTAGTCAAGGGAGCAGTGATTGTTTGTTCTGGTCTGTTTAGGGTTTCACATGCTGGGAGTTTGATTGCATCTCCCTGCCTCTGAAAGAAGCTTCCAGAGCATAGGGAAGGCGATTCAGATGATCAGCCTGAATATTTATTGTGCCCTAGACAATCCCTTGAAAAATCTGGGAGGTGATAAATAGTCTGAAGCCATGGGAAAGTTCTCCTTTCCCCAGCAAGGAGGGTTCCAAAGCCTCAGGGTGGGGGTGCTGCCCTAGTAGGCTGTATAGCTTTTCTTTGAGGTCTCAGCTGTGGCAGAGCCGAGGACCTGAAGCAGTGGTGTATTTATTTATCCCTTGTGCAGCCACTAGGCAACAGTAAAATCAGGTGCCCCCACCCCCTTCCCTGACCAGTTCCCCGACACCCCCCCCCCCCCCAGCACCCAGCCACTGATTCCTCCCCCCCCAGGCAGTGACCACCACCATCAATGACAGCTGCTGTGTAGAGAAGGATCTGACAGCAGCCTCCCCAGCCTGTGGTCTCCCTCTCCAGGCACTTCCCTGTGCATGCCTCTGGCTGTGCCCGCTGTGCCAGGGATGCCATGCCCCACAACCATAGTGCTGGTGATGAGGGCGGCTTTGTGCTGGTGAAGAATGGCTCCAGAGGGAGAGGAGAGGGGGTAGAGAGCGCTACTACAGCATCCTAGGGACAGGTGAATTGGCCCAGAGTGCTGGGGCAGGAGCGAGGAACCTGTAGGAGAGCCGGCGGGGGAAGCAGGTAGCTTGGATGAGCTTGTTGGGGAAGCCATTGTCAGCAGGCGGTGGTGCTGTCCCTCTGAAAATTGCCTCCCAAGGCAAATACCTTGTGTGCGTTGTGGTAAATACGCCACTGACCTGAAGTGATCTTCTGACCAACTTGCTGTAGGACTTCACATGAGGGTTCTGGTATGGAGAAGGATAGTCTCCTTCATTGGACAATGACTGGAGAAAGCTGGAAGGTGTGTAGTAATCACCCTGAATTGTGATTCCTTGTGACTGTGTGTGCTTTTTGGGATGTGAGCACCAGAGGTAGTTTGGACCAAGACAGCTCTCATATTGTAGGGTCTCAGGGTACTGGCCATTCTCCTATCCTTAGCAGAATCCTGGCGTGGGAGGCAGGTGGTAGAGTAGGTTCTCCTTTAAAGTGCCTCCTCAACCTGGAAGAAGCCTGGAAGATTATTCAGAACCTAGGAGGGTGGTGGGTCAGACTTCAGAGGAAGAGGAAAGAGGCAACATCTGTCTGCTGAGCTCCTGCTCTACCACCTACTGATGGAAGGTAGGGTGCCATGGGGTTTCCCTTCCTAGCTCCAGGAAAGAAGTAGAGGACTTTTAGAAGTTGGTATACCCCTCCGTCCCTCCTATCCTTAGCCCAGGAAGAACATCAGGCCTACATAGAGTGAGTACCATCTGCAGAGAAGCAAGCAGCCACCAGCAGGGCCTGGGACCAAGAGTCCAAGTCACTATTGGAACTGTGTTGGGGTCTGTGACTCACTGAAGCTATGTGATTGTTTGAGGCTTTAAGTAAAGAACATTAACCACGTCCCAGGGGCGGACTGACAACGCATGGGGCCCCCGGGCAATAGGGGATCACGGAGCCCCTGTGTCCTTGCCCAAACTCAAAAAAGCCCCTGAAAAAGGTACCAGGGGCATCTCATGGGGCCCCCCTACTAATCTTGGGCCCTGGGGCAATGCCCGAGTTTCCAAATGGTCAGTCCGCCCCTGCCACGTCCCACCATATGGTGCCTTTATTTGGTAAGAATGCTGCTCTGAAGAGTGTGAGAGTGAGTTCTACTATTGTACCCTTAATGTCGGGCCTGCAGAAGGTGCCCGGCGTCTGGAGGCCTTGGGATCGAAGAAGCAAAGCACATAGCCAGGGGGGTTGATCAGAGGTTGGTCTCTGTCCGTCACCCACACATTGGGGAGAGTCATCAGGCAAGATCCTAAATTGCTCAGAAGGCCAGAGTTGCATTGGGGGTCGGCTAAGCTACCCACTTAGGTCATGCAGGGAGGCAGCCCACCCAACATGGGCCTATAAAGAGGTCCAGCTATTTTGAAGGGACCTTGGAAGGGCTTTAGAGAATTTTAGCTGATTGAACACTGCTGCAGCTTTTTAGGTGGCTAAATGCTTTGAAACTACTTCACAAATGACAACGATTTGTGCTTCCAGCTCAATCCTAGATTGTTTGGGCTGAAGACCATGATGGACTTACTAGCTAAGTCACTGATCGTACGTGGGTGGTTGTGTGGGAGGATAGGGAGATGTCCCTCCAGTCAATGGTGGATACTGGCGGTAAACCCTTTTGGGGTTTGGGCTGCTGCCTTTTTGGTATAGCATTAAGCTTCTTGCTGCCCCTGGAACATCTGCGATCACTCTGTCAGTTTTTCCTCCAAAACCTAGAAAAAATATATAACCGTCGCGGGGAATCTTTCCCATTTAATAGCTTGCAGCAACAGCCGTAAAGAAGGGAGAGTCTTTCCTCAGGAAACCCATTAATCTGATGTTCTTGTCCCAATAAATGCCTCTTAATCTATCAGCAAACGTGCATTCTCTTGGACATTGGGTGCTCCTTCATTCCTATTATTCCAAGCTCAATCCTAGATGATAATTATGCTGAGCACTTATCTGTCTGGATAAATATGATTCTCGAATATGTGACGCTTGTTTACAAAAGGTTTGACTTAATTGTTCTGCATTATGGGAGAAGATCATTGTGATGTACATTGTGCATTCAGAAGGGTTTCAATGGTGTCTATTGTGTTTCTTTGTCTAGTAAAAGAATAGGTCGGTATGAGTAATGCCTTTGTCTTTAATAAGGAGCTCATAAATATCATTGATTTACCAGCGGAATGATAGAGATCCTCATCAGGTAGAACGCTCTGTTACTTTGTGGCAGATTCCTCAGTAAGATGCCTCTTTATATTCCAGCCCTGGGAGTCGACGGGAAAACTACGTTCACTTTTCCGGAGGATCCCACTGACAA